AGGAGACTTAAATGACGTAAATACTTTTCTTAATTTAGTGTTGGATCTTTTCAGGTTCTCACTTGTGATTTTTGTCTTAAGATGCAAAGCGAAATGGAGACATTTAAATACACTTTGAAATAGATGAAGATTAATGGAGTCTAAGTCAAAGCACAGGATATGAAGAGCATTTTGAAAAGTCCGAGCACTTCTCGGGAAGAGTCAAGTAGTTTTTGCACAACTTTCTGTAGATTTTTTTTTCCTTTTTAAAGGATGTAGTCGGATTTTGTAGGACTAATTGTATGTAATTAATGGAATTCCATGAAGCAATGATTACCTATAATCAAGCAAAAACTGGGTTCGAATGTAGTAAGTTACCTAACACTATTCTATAGTTTTTTTCTTTAATTTTAGTCTTTTTAGGACTAAATTTTCATGTCGGCTGACTTTTGTAATAATCTTAACTCTTCTAAATCCAGAATTCAGATCATTGAATCCTAAAGTAATGTTTGTTGTCTTCAAACCAGTTTAGTTTCACTGATCCTACTGTGATCCTAGATTTTAACCAGACTGATTTTATTTCATTCAGTAAAATGAACGAAATGGGTTCACTTCTAAATATGGATAAGAGTTGTAGTAAATTCTCTTAATTTCTTCTAGACCTGTAGTCCTATCCCCTCTGAAGACAAACAAGGTGAATACTTTCTTCTGTTCCCTGACTACAAAGGACTCCTGCATGACTAGTTTGGACAAGACAGCTTATTTTAGGTAGCTAAGTGAAATAGACTGAATCCTACGCTAAGAATGTAGCCTGCAAGTACTTTATTTAAAATTACTGAGAAGGTATAATAGTACAAATGCATTGGTGAGATATGTTTGTTTACTTGTTTGGAGAGGATGGAAAGCCATTGCACATGGAATTTTGGAAATATTCCCAGGCATGATTATAAGGGAAGACTGATAACGTTGATGGAAAAAGCCCCCTTTAATAACTGTAGTGGATCAGTCACACACCTTTATTTCAGTCTGTTGTGTTGTGCTGTATAAAAAAACAGGCACGAACATGACCTGTGGATGGCATATTATCATAACCCATGGGCTATGCTGTAAAATGCACTTTTATAAACTCCTGGAATTGGTTCATGGAACTTTCTGAAGCAGGTGATTACTCACAATCCTCATTAACTTTCTAGCTGCTTACCGAAAAGATATTTATTAAGGAGAGTGCCCTAGTTGAAAGTGTCTAACCTCTACCCTTTCCAAAGGGGAATGTCAGATTTTTTCTGGATACGGAGAGATAAGTCACTGTTGGAAATAACACAGTTCAGACAATTTGCATCTATAGGTAGTTTTACTAAAATAGAATTTTATGCTGAAAGGTAAACTGCTTAGTTTGAAATAGTTACAATGATGTGGGTTTTTTATTTATATATAGATTATAGATCTTCTTGTGGGACTGTTAGGCTATATATGCTTGGCCTTTTTTTTTTTTCTTTGTTTCCTAGATACTAATCTCATCTGTACAAAGCAGGAGCACCTTTTTAATGGAAGAGGGGAACTTCTTGTGAATTAGGGTGATGCATCTGAAAGTTGAAATGTTTGTTTACAGGGAGTGAATTCCAGTTTTGCAAAGCAGTTGCTAGAACAGCATAGAGTTGGAAAATGTGCTTGGGTAATGCTGAAATATTGGAGATATAGGATGATGGGATTAGGAATTCCCGATCAACAGCTTTGTGTGAGAACTAAGAAAAAAACGGAAACAGGGAATTGCGACATGCTGGTTATTCATATTCTAGAGTGGGAAAAATCTGTACTGTTTGCAAAAACACATTTTAAACTCCCATATATACTTCAAACCTCGCTAGAGAACAGCAGTATTTGTAGTCAGATTTCCTCAGCTGCTGTTTGCAGCATGAATAAAATCTCAGTTGCATGATGTCTTTAAGGATGGCAGTCACGTCACCTCACCTAACTTAAGCTAACTCAAGTAGGTTCTTTTTGTAATCCAATGAAGAAAGAGGGTGTCATCTATATCTTACGTGTCTTAGGCACCTATCTTAAGATAGGGTGACCCATCCTCTGTTTTATCTCATTTTTTTGACACCATCCCATTGCCAATGAATTTTTCATTTTTCAACCTCATCGTATTTGAGGGCCTCTGCAAATGCAGGGAGGGATGTAACTACTCTTTTTGCTTGGTCTTTCTCTCTTCCTTTTTTCTTTTGAAAAGAAGAAATTTGAAGATTCTTAGTTAATTATCTGAGCAAAGATAAGGTCAAACAAGTATCTTTTACATTTGGACAAAGGATCCTGAGGCCTGTTTTAGGTACAAATTCCAAAATAAGCCGGACAGACTGCTGAGAAGCTGTTCTCCTTGCTTACTTGTGATGGTGAGTTTCAACAAACCTGATGAATGGAATAGTCGATCATCTTGGAGGTGAAGCTCTTTTAGGTGCAAACTATTGAATGGCTTAAAAATAGAGTAAGTTCTCGTTTGCCACGGTATTCTGTGGATGTTCATCACAGGGGCAGCAAGAATATTTGATGTTGGCCATGTAAGCTGGGCTGTTGAGGAAGACACACTATCCTAGTTAAAGCTTATGTGATGCATTAAAATCATTCCTGTCTGATGGGGGAAGTTGAAATATTCTTCCGTATGCCAAGCTCAGAGGGAGCGTTTTTCCTTGTAGCAGAGAAAGCAACTTGGTCTTTCAGGAAAGTGATCTATTTGGAAATTATTTACGTTCCTGGGTATATGAAACTAGTTCATCAGTAAAGCTTTCCCCATTCCTGAGAGTTAAACTTTCAAGTTGAAATTTTTAATCCTCATTTTGAAAACATTGTAGAAGAAAATAAAAACTGACATGTTTTCTTCCTCGGTCTTCTAAAAATACAGGCTCTCTGATCTGTTTCAAAATGTGTTTTCAGTTTTAATGATTATGATTATAGTTAAGGGACTAGTTAGAAAAAGTGGAGATGTTAAATGTAAATGTGGCAACCACCTTACTTTTCAGAGCAAGATGGAGAATCTGTGTACAAGCTGAATGTTATTGAGAACTTGCATTGTAATGAGATATGGTACAGTGGAGTTAGCTTTAAAGGAAAAAAAGTCATTCTTAATTACTTACATCATACCACAAGGCCCACAGGAAAATTGAAAACTGGCAGCATTTTTTTTCATCTCCCCTAACTTTGCTGCTTAGAAACTAGGCCGCTTCTTTGCCGGTTGTCAAGGCTTCCAGTAAGGTCTAGACTGGTCACCCACATAGAAGGATTTTGTTCCATCTATCGTGGACATCCGTCTTAGGGTGGAAGTAACCTTCCTTTTAAAAACAGCTTTTGCGTGGCTGAATTACAGCTAACTTGGAGAACTTTATTTGGTAGGTGTTACTCAGAAAAAGGAGATAACCGCTTTGTTTCTCATCACCTATTCACAATGATCTGGGTAATAGGCAACTGTTCCCTACCTCTTTTAAGGCATTAAGACTGATTAAAAGCCATATGCTTTCTTTTGCTGCCACAATACTCTTGACTGGTCAATTTATTTAACATATATATGTGACTTGACTAATGAAGAATAAGATGGTGATCAGCACTTTCTCAGATGAAGAAACGTAGTTTATTTCAGCTGTCAAAAATCGGGAGACTGTTACTTAGCGTGTGAAGAAAATAGATAGGGTCAAAGATAAGTAGTCCTGGAAAACTGCTAATACCCTCTCACTTTTCTATTTGGCTGCTTCCAAATTTCAGCCCTCAGGTTTAAGACAAGGAAAGAAGTATCTGACAAGGCATGGATTTAAGTTAAAACCATCTGCTAAGCTACTTTATTGTCTGTCTTCCAGTTCCTCTTTAAAATTCTCTTCTGCAGTACCTGCAAAAATCTTAACAATAGTCATATTACTAGAGTATTAAGGTCTTTAACTTTAGATAGGACACACGAGGTGCATGACTTGACTCCTCTCTCATGTCCTCAGCAAAAAGGGCAAAGTAAGTTGCTCACTCTTTCTTCTATGATTCATCCACCTTCAATTCAAAACATATATGTAAACCTGTAGGGAGATTATATATTTTTGGTTTAAATCTGCTCCCCTTTCCATGTTTTGCCAGAGAGGTTCTAGAAAATCTTCATCCTTGGAGATGCTGATAATTTGACAGGACACGGTTCTGAGCAACCTGATTAAAGTTGGCTCTTCTATGAGCAAGAGTTGGATCAGATAATCTTCAGGGGTGTCTTCCAACCTAAATTATTGCATTACAGTCAGAGAAGAAAAAATGGTATTTTATTTCTGTGAAAGTAAGGCTTATACTTCCAGTTTTCCCTGCTAAAGAAAGAGAAGAAAACAGCCAACACCAAACAACATTCAAAAAGGAGTCCACCAGCACTGGAATGAGTCAAAAAGCCAAGTAACAATTCATAAATGAATAGTGATATAATTACAGATGGTGATTGCTCCATATATACATTTAAAAATGTGCAAACAAATCTGTGAACAATGACATTGCATGTGGATGTAATTCATCTACCTCTGAGTCTTTGGCATATGGGAGGCTGTATTTTATATGGTATCAAGTAAAAATCCCTATTATCATTTTGTTTGTGGGAAACATTTATATATTGAACTTTTCCAAGTGTGACACTGCAATTATCCACATGGAAAATAATAACGTGACGTGATGTTACTTGTAATAAGTTAATTGTGACTTTCTTTCAACACAAGCAGAACAATATAGCTATTATTAAATGTGACTACATTTTTTTTACTGCTTGGTTTTCTCTCCTTCTGAACCTATTAATGTATAATTTCAATTATCAGCATGTTGGATATACGGCATTTAGTTAGAAAAATACATCTTATAATGAAGATGTGTTAATTCTGAAATTTCTGTTTTTTGAGAGTTTTTTTGTTTTTTTTTTTTTTTAAACCATTTCTTATTAAGAATCATTAAGAAAATGCAGAACAATTTGAAGGACTTAAGAGATGTGACTTCTGTTCTGATTTTTGTTTGTTTTCTCCTTACAGGCCTGGCAGCTGAGATTCAGCCATCTCGTGGGCTATGGTGCAAAATACTACTCTTACCTCATGTCTAGGGCTGTTGCCTCCATGGTGTGGAAACAATGTTTTGCTCAGGACCCATTTGATAGGTAAAAATAGCCAATAAATTAAGGAGCAGGAAGTGGCATGCTGCAAAGCAGGAAACAAATGTTATACCTGGGGCAATGTAGGGGGTTTTTTTGAATGACAATTTTTTTTTAACTTTTTGTTGATTTTTAGAGTATAACAAAACAGAACATGACCTCAAATATAAAGTGTACTTTGGGACATGCTCACTGTTGCAAAGAATTGATGTCAGTGTTTTAAAATACACGTGTGCTGGTTGGGAGGCACTGAAATCCATATTTAGATATAATTAGCTTGATTTTTCGAGGTGTCCAATTATTTGTAATTTTCTGTTGAAATCAAAAGCAAGCTGCAGGTATTAAACAAGCTTCGTGTCACCAGCTTCAAAGCTACATATGGCTATCCTACTCATTTTGCTATGTGAAATGAGGAAGTAAATTTTGAGATCAAAAATTTAAACTGTTCTTATACATTATCTGAATATTCCAAACATTGTAACAGAGTAACCTTTTCCCTTGGAGCAAAGAAGGGTAAAATGTTGTTTACGATTTTACTTCCATAAATACCACAGCATATGTATAAAATTTATCTAGTTCAGTTAATCGTAGTATAATTTTGAACGTAATCTGAATTTGAGGGATTGACATGGAAGTAAGGCAGTCATTGTTTCAGGGTGGAAGGTTTCATTTCATCTCTGCCTTTGAGCTCTGTAGAGAGACTAGAAGCAAATAAGACTGAAAGTTGAACAGATTGTGCTTGCAGTTGACTCAAATTTATCTATGTTTCTTCAGGGCAATGGGTGAACGTTATCGTAGAGAGATGCTGGCACACGGCGGTGGAAAAGAGCCCATACTTATGGTTCAAGGTAGAAAAAAAATTAGGACTGTTTTATTCCCTTGATCTAGCAAGAAATAATTTAACTGTATTTTCCAATTCAGCTTTTTAAATTTAATCTTGATTTTTCATAGGGTTTATGAAAGAAAACGTGTTGATTTATTCACTTAGGTGGACTGTTTGTCAGCTTTTTCATGTGTCAGTAAAACTAATGATCCGTGGAACGAAACGGACACACAAATAGTTGGAGTGAAGTGTTGGAAAGGGCTGTAATGCAAAGCAGTCTAGAGAATTCAAAAGAAGAGTGTCACATACTGCAAGGAGGATAGATAGCACCAACATGGGCACAAAAAATGATTAACTTTTGCATGCTTGATATTCATAGTAGATACAATTATTGTGTATACAAGAATTGGAAATCTTTTTGACCATGTCATTCTGACATCATCAAAATAGCTTGGGTTGTGTCAGTACTTCAAACATGCATTCTGATAAAGTGGGAGTCTGAATACTCTAATAAAGAAACATGGTTCATTATTCCTTTTAATACTATAAGTAGGACAGTGGTGATGTGTCTGTATTCCATCATGAACTCACCACAGTTTCATAACTAGAACACATTCAGTTCTTTGGCCCATCAGTTTATATTTGAGGCCATCTGCCCTCCCTAGAGTCATCAGACATATAGTGACTAGATGGTCATATAGTGGCTAGATTAGCACATTTTATGTGTCTCTATATAGGGCAGCTTTTCCTTTAGCATGACTTTTCAACTTTTAAACTTACTTTTTTGTATACCACTCTTGAAGAATCTGTGTTTGTAACGTAACTTCAGAAACTGCAGCCCAAGATTATGATTTTGAGTAATTGCAGGAAAGGAACATACAGCTTTACAAGCAAATCCAATTATACCGTAAGTACCTATGGTAGAGGAAGAAAGATTATTTTTAAACACTAGTTATGTTTGTCATCTCTTTTATTTCTAGTATGTTGTTTTAATTTCCAGTAAACTCAATGCTCAGTGAATATCTCAGAAATTATGCTGAAGTTACTGGCTGAGAGCTCACCTGAATCAAATATTGTTTGAATACAATTTGAAAAATTAATCTGTGGAAGGACTTGCATCAGTTCTGTAGAACTGCACCTGGTTTTCCTCCTTGCTGTAGGAGAACACAGTAAAACTATGGTACAATCCATTTGGGGATGAGAGTACGCATCAGTAATTTGGGGTAAAACTTATTACTGAAATTCGTCTGGAAAAAGTAGTGTCCAGGAAATTCTAAGTTTATTTTAAATTTAAAGGAAATCCGAATATGATAAAGCTTGAAAAGATACAGTGAAAGCACACAAACAAGTTTGTATCTTGTAATGCAGCAATCAGATGTTTTAGGCATTTCGGTATTCATAGTCCTCATACTCTTAGTCCAGAATTCATTTAGCAGTACAGATAGTTCAGTCAGTTAAGAGCAGTGGTGAATGGTGAAGAAGCAATAGCTACACAAACTGGGGTTTGAAGAAGAGAGCAAGCTATGTTAAAGGAATAGTTGAGCATATTGTGGGGCAGTGAGCTTGATGTTAATGGTAGAATAGTGGGATCTCTTATGATGACCGAAACATCCATGTAAATAAGAGACACAATTTGATTTCTCTTTTTGTCTTTAAATCAGTAAATACTTAAATCTCTAAACAACTATGTGTCACTTTAAGGTCCGTGACTGTAGTGCACTTGCTAGCATATTTGTCCAGGTATGAAAGGAGAACCAGGTAGCAGTAACTCCTCTGTGTGTATTAGGATCAGCATGAGTGGTACCTGTGATAAGAATATAAGAATATAGACAATCCATCTACAGAAAACAGCAGAAATTTACAAGCTGTTTTCACTTTTATATTCTGAATTCCTTTAATATGAATTTAAACAGAAATCTAAAAATATGTTCAAGGTCACTACTGAAGGCACTACTAGAGAGAGTGCAGCGGAGGGCTACAAAGATGATTAGGGAACTGGAGCCTCTCTCCTCTGAAGAAAGGCTGAGAGAGCAGGGACTCTTCAGCCTGGAGAAGGGAAGACTAGCGAGGATCTGATCAATGTCTACAAGTATCTGAAGGGAGGGTGTCAAGAGGATGGGGCCAGACTCTTCCCAGTGACAAGACAAGAGGCAACAGGCACCAACTGCACCACAGGAAGTTCCATCTGAACCTGAGGAAAAACTTCTTTCCTGGAGGAGGGTGTCAGAGCACTGGCACAGGCTGCCCAGAGAGGTAGTGGAGTCTGCTTCGCTGGAGATCTTCAAAAGCCGCCTGGACGCGATCCTGTGCAATGTGCTCTAGAGGACCCTGCTTGAGCAGGGGGGTTGGACTAGATGATCTCCAGAGGTCCCTTCCAACCCTGGCGATTCTGTGATCATCAAAATTAATAGAAGAATGCTTTTCTTAATCAGCAGAGTCCTTTCCTGTGTGTATTGTGACTTTCACTTGTGGACAGCACAAAACTTAATAGAAACATACTGGAATGATTGTCCATGAAAAATGAAATTGAGGTAGCTCAGGTCTCTGACATTTAATAATTCAATTGCTTGTTTTGGATTATTTGGGATTAAATCATTGACCACATATGATAGAAAAGTGTATTATATGTTTATATTTAATCACTCCGTGTTTATTACAAAAATTGAGAGTTTAAGCCGAAAAGTAAAAGCAGTTATCCCTTCTTTAATTTTTTAGGTTACTGTTTTGGTCAGCTTCTTATTCCTCTTGCTTAATTTTTCTTTCTTCATGAAGGGTATTCCAAAATACTTGAATTCTGGTTGTTGTTTGTTTTCATCAGTTACAAAGCCATGCTCCCATAGCAGATCACCAAACAGATTCCTATTTACTGGCAGCTTCCACCAGACTTCAAAGCTTTGTTGATTTTGCTCTTCTTCAGGGAAACAACTGAGAGTCTGTGGTAGTAAGCGCCATGTTTCAAAAACCTTACGTTCTGTTATTTTAGGAATTTTCGTCATAAGGAAATGTGTTTGTACAAGTCTGACTTCTGGATACGTGTATTTAGCCTCACCCTTCAAGAGCTTCCGTATCTCATTGTGAAGTTGGCCATATTCATTGACTGTTTGATAAAAGATAACTTCACAAGTATTTCACTTACTCAGTTTCTTTGTTATGCTTTTCTTCTCAGAAGCTGTCTATTGTCTTTCTTTTGTGTTTGGATGTGACCCTAGCTTTTCATCTTTTTCCCACACAATTCCATAGATTTAGTGATTAGGAAAGATAAAGAATCTGGCCTGCCTTCCAGTGGAGTCGGTGACAAGATTCCTGCTTGGACTAGTCTTTGATTAGAAAACGCAGTATACTTGTTTTGTTTGGATTTGATTCTCTTGGCTTTTGTTTCCATTTAAAAAACGCAAAGGCTTTATGACTCCCTTTTTTAACAGTTTTTGAAGTGACCTCTCTTATCTTACCCCTTTGATAACCTGCAAAATTCAAAAATAGTTACAATTACAAATAGGAGGAGCAATAAAATAATGAATGGATAGTGCTTTGTCCAAGAGGCTTCCATTTGTCTCTAAAAGAGAGAAAATAGTTTGAAATGAACTTGATTTCTCTGTCATGGGATGGCCGCATGGCTCTTTAAGACCCCCTCCTGTACAGCAGTACATGGAGTTAGGGATTCCAAACGCCTTTAACAGGTGTAACCCAGGTGTCCCTTCCGGGACCAGCTGTGTGTGACACAGCTGGTTGCAAATCAGAACAAGACCCAGATGTGCGCCATCCCTCCCCCTTGGCGCTCCTGGCCTGGAAGGAAATCCAGGTGCACGGGCAGGAAGCAAACTGCAGTGTAACAAGTGTCCAGGTTGGATGATCTGAGGACTGAGAGCATGCAACAGGTCCTGGAGTACACTTGTCCTGTGGTTTTGATGCAGACACATTGCCCCTCAAGTCTCTGAAGACTTCCTTCTAGATAAGAGATTGCAGAAGCACATGTGCAAAACGCATGTGCAGTTGTATTCTTGATTCATTAATGCTGCATTATATAGTCATATTCAGTTGTGTGCGTTCATGGTAGTCCAACCAACTGGATATGTAAATGGGCATGCAATTGCTCAAATGCAGTTTGAAAATTTTTTTCCCCTGCCTAAATTGTATTCAGTGGAATAATTATGATGTGAAGAAACTGTAAAGATATTCAGATGATGATTGTATGTCTCTTTGAAAGTATAAGAAATATGTGTAAATCCTAAAAGGTGATGTGAATGGCAATATATGTTAACTCAAACTGTATGGACCCAAAATAATTAGTGTTCCAAAAGGGCAGAGGCCACATTTTGCCACAGGCTTTTTTCTTCTCTCGGTTTCCAGTGATTGTATGTTACAGCTAACCATCTCTCAAAAGGGTGTGGTTAACCACAGGGCTGTAATGTGAGAGAAAACTTCAAAGCAGAGAAGATAAGCCATGCAGTTGCCTTAGGCTTGGGAGAGACTGATCTGAAATAGGAGTTGGACTGAACATATAAAATACACTCCTAGATTTTAAAACTGCAACAATCAAAGCTTGTGGACATCTTACTAAATCATTTAGAGTAAAGTGCTGAGTACATACTGATCCTACCTTGATATCTTTTAACGGATTTCAAACAGAGAGATGACCATTCTTAATACATCTGATTAGTGTAATAAATTTAAAACATGGAAATACTATTATTTCCTTTTGGAGTCATCTCCTCTAAAACCTGTAGTTACTTGTTTCGTAAGGGCATGCTCTTTTTACTACAGTAGTTCTTCAGTGATGACTGCAAACCGTTACTCTTCATCCTTTCCTTTCAAAAGCCAGATCTGCTAGTGTCTGCTGTTGGTGTCATTGATGGGAAAAGAACAATGCAGTAGACCACTCATGCAAGAAATCTGAAATCTGTATTATCAGAACTTAGAACTATGAGATAGGGGGCCATTTCACATCACGATTGCAAGGAAGATTTTGAATTCTCTTACATATGTAAAACAAACCGTGTGGAGCCTAAATGAATGCAATTTGTAGCAAGTTTTGAGTGAGATTTGGTAAGACTATGTTCAGCTGTACCAAAATAAATCCAATTATGACATAGTTATTTATGTTTTCTTTATTCATTTTCTAATATCCAGGGATATAATTTCTTTATTATGATTTGCTATTTTTATTCAAGAGGGAAATTAAATCTAATGGAAGGTAGTTCCAGGATCAGTCTGTTCTCTTCCTCCTACCTACAAATTAATCATTGTACTGTTAGCATTTCTTCTTTTTGCAGCACATTAATAGTCATGCTTTTAAGAACTGTCCACAGCAAAATATTTATAAACTCAATATTGAAAGGATTTTTTGTATTTTAGGGTTCAGAGTTGTACTGTCTTGACAGCAATATAGTTATCTGTCCCTGTTGATACCTGATAGAAAAGGGGATATTTGCAGTGGAGGAATGGTTCTTTATGGAGACACATCTTAAAGATTGGGAGAAAGGCATTATTTCACCTAATTTTTGCTGTTTATACCTGAGCTAGTCATCCACGTTTCCTTTCTGGGCTACGGGGAAAAATAGACACTTTTTAGGCACAGTTCTTCTCACTGTAAAGGAGACCTCTGAAATTGGTCAAAAGAGTGGCACCCATGAAGTTCCTTCTTCTGTTCAGTCTCTAGAAACAGAGCCAGTTATTTCAGTTGTAAATGCCTGTCGTGAATGACTAAGGAAGGGCAAAATGAATTGCACTGTTGGGACTGGGCTGCTCCATCTCCATCAAAAAGCAAAGTTCCAGTAGCTGTGCGTGTGTTCCAGTGGGCTGCCACCAGTGTCACCTTCTTAAAGGATTGTCTCCACTTCTAGGAAAACTGCAGAAAACTTAAACTCTTTGTCTGAGGGGAATGCTCCAAGGCTGCAAGGGAGCAAGTATGCCTGTCCCCCAGCCAACCCGCTCAGGAACCTGAGAGCATGAGATTGTAACAGGTCATGAATCTCTGGGGAAAGTTGATTAGTAGGTGGTATCGAGACCCATCTGTTTCTCAGCCCTGCATATAGCATGCCATTTTTTATTGTGAATTAGAAGTAATTCCACCCTAATTTTACTAAAATTAGAGTAGAAGACAAGCTTACCAAGTAGTTAAAATATTCTGTTCTCTTTCGTTTTGAAAATAGCTTAATGCAAGCTTCACTTAACAGCATTTCAGTCAACGTGTATATAGTATGAAGTTTGTTTTCCTTTTAGTGCTTACTATTAATCTACTGTGTTGAGGCAGTTTGTCTTGACACTTGAAACATGTGTAACTCGGATGAAAATGTTTTTCTCTGAGGTCTTAGTGGGAAACTCTTCTAGCTGCTCACACGAAATGACCTGAAAAGCTGCTCTGTTTCTTGTTGTTTTTTTCAATCATTGTGTTATAGTAAAAGATTGTGTTTTTTAGAAGAGTGTAATTATAATTTTCACTGAAAGCAAATGTTGTTGAGGATATGAAAGAGCATAAAATTATGTACAGTAGGTGTGCCTATTAGAAAGGGTAGAACAAGGTTATATTTACATTGGCAGTTGTCAGAAAGAACAGATCACTTCAAAGAAGTACAAAGATTAGATTTTACATTATTTGGCAGCTCTACGTTTTTTTTTCCTTGTACAAGCAATGCCCTAAACCTCCGTATATAATCATGAAAATATTAATAACAGTGAAAAGACCAATAGTAATGTAATGTTTAGTACAAAGAAATATCTGAAAATAATTTCCAGGGTATATTCTCAGGCTTTCTAGAAAAGTTGTGATTTGGAGGAGGAAGGTGTGAGACTTGGTTGGTCTCCTTATAGAAGCACTTGGCAAAACACTTGAGCCTGATTCTTTGTTACGCTAATTTCTCTGTCTGTTATCCTGTAGCCGTGTGATACAAATAACATATGTAGAAATTATAATTCTTAATAAAAGGTAAGTCCTTGTCCTGTAAAAAAACAAACCTAATACTACAGTGTACAGAAAATGCATTTGTTTGGGTTTTTTAATGTGTAACACTTTGCGACAATATGTTGTTTTTTCTGGCTACAGTATGTTGTTTTGTCTGGCTCTGTCAGGCCTGAGACTCAGCAGATAAGGATTTAAATCCCTGCTCAGCCACTGATTTTTTTCAGTCATTTGGAAATGACTGAGTCTGGCCTGTGTCTTGGTTACATTACTTTAGAATGGACATAATTCCCAGCTGAAGATAGTAAGGATAAAAGTCAGTTCACAGTCATGAAACCTGTCAATCTTTTGATAATGTGTAACAGATAGCTAGAAAAAATTAAATATTCTTTGCATGGTATAATTGCATTTATTTCTTGGCAAAGAAACATAGTAGCTGTTGCTGTCATATGAACCATGGCATTAAAAGTTAATTAGTAATAAGCTGTATCATTACCAAAACTTTCGAGCTGATGGTATTCTTGCTAAGAGTCTATTGTCTTGTTTTTTGTAGGTATGCTTCAGAAATCACCTTCAGTTGAAGACTTTGTGGATGCCCTTGTTTCAGACTTAGACCAGGACTTTGAAACATTTCTCATGGACTCATAAAAACGTGGAATGGAACTGAGTGTTTTTATGGAAGATTGTAGACATCTTAATAATTGCAGATACAGTGTTGTTATTGGTTTTGCTTCTTGACAAACACTTGTAAATGTTTGAATATTCATGGTGGTAGAATAGTAATAAATAATTTCAGTGGACCACCTGATTTCATTTATGAAGAATGATGGCTTTCAGTTTCACATGGGCTTAAGCATAGAATGTGAGAGAACAAATACTCTGGCATGTGCTATTGAAAAATTTGATCGTGTTGGAGCAGGTGGCTAAACGGGAATCAAACTCATCCTAAAGGTGGATAGAGTGATATGAATGGTCTTTCAGTATGCGTTTACTGGATTCAGAATTAGTACCTAACTGTCAAGTATCATGACCGAGGATGACCACAGTCCCTTCTCACATGCTCTACATGAATATTCTGTTAAATGTGTTTAACCCTATTCCTTGTAGGAGTTCTTAATTTCAGAAAAGCATATTATGTTTGCTATGGAGAAAGGAAAATAGAAAGAAATGGGAAAGTAGGAATAGCATGTGAGAAAAGGAGAAAAAGATGAATGGGAGAAGAAAAACGGTGTTCATACAGATATGTGAAGGATGTGGGGAAAAGAAGTATCTTGCAACATGAAAAAGGCAAGGAAGTGAAATAGGTTCCCCGTATATTTTGTAGCTGTGATTATCCAGTGTATAGGTGTATGTGTGGCCAAGTTTGTAAGTAAAGATAATATTTTTTGTTAGACTAATGTTTTGAGCAGATTTTCAGGTTCAGAATAGAAGTAGCAAGCTTTACAGCTAAATACAAAAGATGGACTGTTCATCATATCAGGAGCACAGAAAGACTGGGAGGAGGAATAGAGTTTATAAAGTGCTGTAAAACTAGTATTGCTATTGAATTAATTTTTTAAATATCCAGCAGAGTTAGAATTTTAGCTCCCAGGCTCATCTTTTGCAGATCTTCCTTTGAGGATCAGTAGTCATATATCAGTAATAGAGCCTTTGTTTTGTGAGAAGTATTCTCCCATTGTTAACTGGGTGCTTTTGTCCTTTTATCTGTTATCTGGGTGCGTTTGTTTTATTGTGTAGCGGTTATTTAGTTTTCCCTGCGTTTCCTTAAGGGCACTGGTGCACTGGATGAAGGATATTTTACTTTGGTGAATATGGACTTATAGCTATTTTGATGATTCTGTTGCAGAGAATAATCATTGTGAAACTATGTTGGCAAACTTCACTGTTGAGGTACAGCCTGAGTTTGCTTCCCACGTCTTTATTCACAGCAGGTTTCCTTTCAGTGATGAGTGAAGGAGTGTTAGGGAGCTATTTAAAGTACAGAAGGGCGAGTTCGGGGTGGGGGAAAAGAAGTCATTCAGAACAAAGATGTTCTTCCAGGAACAGTTGAAGGTTGCAAACATCGTGGATGGTAACCAAAAAGACATTATCAGTGAGCGTTTCTCTTTATCTTGAAGTAAATTATGACATGCTATTTGGGTGTTCATTTAGAAATATGCGATCAGTTTTTCCCTAGGGAAACGTCCTCCTCTCTTAAAGGTCTTCTATAGGTAGTTGCAGTAAGTGTCCTGCTCAGAGTAAGTGTAGTGAAAGAAACAACAGATGGAAGAGGAGGCTAAGAAATGAAGGCAAATAGCTGGAAGAGAAGCAGAAGGGGAGGCGTTTAACCAAAAAAAAAGTAGATGTCTGGGAAGGGATAAATATGAGTGATTGCTGATGGAGTGGGATAGCAGACAATTAAATGAAGGATAATTGTAGAGGGCAAAAAGGAGAGAACAATGAATTTATTTTCATTTTCTGGATAGTAACTTGTTTTTTAAACAGGATTTGTGCTATCAGGTATTAATTGATATTTTACTCTACCTTCTCTCTTTGTTTATGCATGATAACTATTCAGGAAATTTGTCTTGTATGAATAGTACTGCTATTCTATTAGAACTGATTTTAGCTATTTTTAGATATGAAATGTTTTTCACTGAACAATAGCAGGCATGTTTTCAGACATCTACCACAAGCAGGTCTCTGTGTTGCATGTTTGTCTACATTCTGTATCTGCAATTGGTCACTAAGAAGAAGGAAACAATGGTTTCACCTAACAAACTACATGGGTATTTTGTAACAAGATCAGTGATAAAAAAACAAAAGAAGTTTAAGTTTAGGTGTAAGAAAGAAAGTATTGTGAAGATGGAAAATTCTTGAAAGGATACAATAACTCATGAACATAAATTTAACAGCCCCTCATGGAATAATGGAAATATGCGTCAAAAGGAATTACAGGGTGTTGGCAAGGGAGTCTTTTGTTGTTTTTTGCATGTTTTCTGTACTGGAACAAACTACCAGTAATCTGGAGTTGGCACATGTTAAAAGATTCACGGTGACAAAAAGAACTTAGCAAAAGGAAATCCTCATCCTGACATGGGCCTTGTAGCATTGCTGTAAAGAAAATAAAGCATCGTAATTGATGGAATAATCGGAGTATTTAAACTTCGGAGATCTGCCCTAGATTTTACTTTGAAAGAAATCGAAGTGACGTTGGTTCTAGGGTTTATTAGGTACGCTTTGCCTAAATATAAATGCGAGTCATTGGTTTATGCCCGTGACTGCTGTTACTTTCTTAATTCACTGTCTCTTTTGATCCTTCTATAAACAACAATCCTTTTTTGTCAGAGTGGCATCAAATAACTTCTTCCTAATACTGAAATCAGATATAGACAAAGAAAGGGAACAAAATCTCATCTTTTGCCGCAGCAAAATAGACTTAAACTTACTGTCGCAGAGTCATTGCCCTTGGGACATTTGACAAACACAAGAGCTGATAGTAAAATAAATATAACTCAGAATGACAGCTTCGTTTTTTGGGGGGTTTTTTTGGAAGAAACTCTGTTGACTCCAGTGATTTTTATTTTATGAAATACCTTTGAGGATTGAACAGTAGACAAGATTAAGTCTCTTGAGAACATAATATATCACCACTATGATGCTTACTACAGAAAGGGAAATATTATTCTAAAATAACTTTTCTCTTTCTTGGTAGTTCCAAAAATGCTTCCAGCTGTTCAAATGTCTGACGCTTTTTCCTTTTTTTTTTTTTTCTCTTTGAGAGACTTTTATTTTCCAGAAAATATGTGTGCTTTTAGTAACGTGAGATCTCTCTTGTGACCAGCAATGTAAGTCTCCTTAAATGTAAAAACCACTGCAATCCTTTTCCAGCATTTCATATTTTCCCATTGGGGCTACTGAATTAGCTGTCCAAAAGTTGATTTTGTAATACTGCAGCTCAGTGTCATGCTTCTAATCTGAAAATTAGAAGACTTACAGAACTGGAGAATTGTTTTGTATTTTAGCTGCTATAGAAAGTAAATAGTGAAAATCTTTAGAAGAAATAACACCTTCCTGCAGTACTGAAATAAAACTATATAGATAAGTCGTATATTAAAAAAAAAAAAAAAAGTGGCCAACATTTGATAGCCTGAGGTGTCAGCTAAGCGTTTTTCCATGTTTGATGTGATTGTTCTTCTGATTCACCTAAGAAAGACTGAAATATTGTTTAATAATTGCTTTCCAGTAAGTGAAATAAACTCAACTGGTGCTTCATGGAATTTTAAATGAAAATTAAAATTGAATCATGATTGTTCTAAATGAAATTTCTAAATTATCTGAAAAGATAAAATGAACAGAGGGCAACAGTTCAGTAGGTGAGAAGGAGAATAAAATAGGTCAAGGAAGAATTGAATATAAATTAAAAACCAGCAAGAAAAAATATTCATAACAGAAGCAAAATGACCTGTCGGTCACAAAATTAGGGAGATTAAAATAGAAGGATTTTATCTTAGTGATTTTACAAAGGAGTAAGTATAAAATGGAGATAACAGAAAAGGCAGACGTGTTGAAAAATGTTCCTATATCGTCTTCAGTGAAAAGCCAGATGGAAGAAATATCGTATTTTGATAAAATACTTTCCTTCCTACTGCTACAGATGTTAAGAACAGCTGTACAGTGGGTCAGACTTGAACCAGTGTGTAAAGTTTTAAAATTAATGTATAGCAAAATAATGGAGCTCCTGGCAGGACTTGCATAATCAGAGGATATTCTGGTGCTAATCAGAACGTGTTTCCAGAAAAGAGATCTTGCCACAGTGACCTTCTCATAAAGAGTTAATAAATTCTGTTGGAAAAAAAAAATGATGTTCATATCATGGATGAGAGAAACAAATTATTTAATACTGTACAGTAACTTGAATAAGAAACAAATTTCATAGATGATACTAATTGGGGGAATGAGAAGTAACGAAGAGGATAGATCACTGTTATCCAGCCATAGTAACGTCTCAGAAAATTAAGGCTCAGAAAATATGCATTTCAGCTAATTTGACAGCAGGAACTGAGCACTGGAACACAAGTGAAGGACTCTGCTGTAGTTGACTGATCATCACAGAATCACAGAATCGTTTAGGTTGGAAGGGACCTCTGGAGATCATCTAGTCCAACCTCCCTGCTCAAGCAGAGTCACCTAGAGCATATTGCCCAGGATCACGTCCAGACGGCTTTTGAATATCTCCAGCGAAGGAGACTCCACCACCTCTCTGGGCAACCTGTTCCAATGCTCTGTCACCCTCACAGTCAAGAAGTTTTTTCTCAGGTTCAGATGGAAAATGTATGATTCAGATGGAATCACTTGAAATGTAAATCAAAATCAGGCAGTTTTCTGGAAAATATGCTCTAGTTCAGGTTAATTCGAAGAAGTCCCACAGCCTTTTCTTATGCAAGAGGACAACCATCTTTTATGGTGTTACGAGCTATGAATGAACAGCACACTTGGAAGGAAGTTCTGCCATGAGGGTAGCAAGTCTGCGCTCCTGGGGGAGCTGTCCTGCTTCAGGTTTGCCGGTCGGAAGGGAGGCCGGAGCGGAGAGCTGGAAAAGCTGCGGGACCCAAAGAGCTTCCCTTGCTTGTTGTACAAGCGGGAGGCCCTGTGCATCTGGTATTTCAGAGCACTTCTGGGCAAAGTATTGGAGAATTTCTTTTCCCAGGGCCAGGGATTTATTTACATGGTGGTGGGAACAAGTTCAAGTTAAGTGCTTTTACCCTGGCAGATTTACAGTATGCCAAAAGAGGACTATTACATTAAAATTAGAAGACTTACAGAACTGCAGAATAGAAACAAAATTATTGCCGAAAGAAAGCACATCGATTTCCCTGAGAGAAGTACCGTGGGAGAGCAACCAGCGTGCTGAGGGAGGAGAGGGAAGGAGATAAACGATAAGGAAGCATAAATCAGCACCAGCAGGACTGCCTGTCGGCCCTTCTGATCTTCCCCTGTTTACCTTTTAAGTACGCTGGCCGCAGCTGTTCTTCTGCAGATGGCTCTTTAAAAGGAGCGCCAGGGCGCTCTGCAGCTATGCAATTGTAGGAAATCGTTAAGGCTTGTTATTCGGAGGAAGTATCCACATAATCTGTTAAAAGACAAAATACTGAAACCAGAAGCAAAGTGCTGATAAAGATGAGGCAGAATAACTGGTTGTTGCTCTGCTGGTGTGGAGTTGTAGAAATAGTGATGAAATTTAGTGGGATGTCTCTTGCCTAGCTTAGCCTAGAAGACAACTTGTAGATGGCTAAAGTTTGCCGCGCGGCCTCACTTTATGATTGATGAGAAGAAGCAGGCACCTCCTAAAAGGGATATATCCTACCTGCTTTGCAGTGGGACGAGCCATCTCTTGCCAATGCTTTTTCTTGCTCCGATAACTATAGAGGGAACATAGAACCTTTTTTTGGAGAAGTTACCATTTTTCAGCAGTCACGTGCCACAACTGTTTGATTTGTCTGACTTCTATGACAATTTATGCAACTAAGTGTAGTATTTTAATATTGCACTACACAATACCATTTTGAATATATAGGATAAAATGGTTTTAACTAGTCTTACGACATTCAGAGTTTTAGGAAGTGGCTTTTGGCACTGGTCCCTCCGCTTCCTTACAGCCCCCTCACCTTAGACGCTGCCAAACCCCTCCCTTCTGCCGCTGCTCCTGCAGCTGCAGGGGGGCAGGACCCGAAGGGGTGAGCCACGGGGGGGACGGCGAGGGGCGCGTCGGGCCGTGGCTCTGACCTGGAGGCTGTGCTCGTGTCAAGGAAAAGCCAAACGGCAGAACGATACGTTCTTCCCACCCTGCCCACAATCGCCCGTGGCACGTCCCCATACAGCCTCGAGTGTCTCTTGTGCTTGAGCGTTTCTCTGCCGACTTCCCTGCGCGGCGGGCGCGCGGGGCCACGCGGAAACGCACCCAGCGTGACCTGCTGCACGGGCCAAGCGTCTCCAAGCTCGTGCCAGCTGGAGTGGGCAAGCCCCTCTATTCTGGGTGCCACAGGACAGCAGTTGTGCTTAATGAGTAATAGTAACTTGTCAGGTGGGTATCTGAGTATTAGCTTGTCCCTTAAGTATGACCAGAGGCCTTTGTTTGGTGGATGTTTGCAGCAGCCTTTAATAGGAGGGTTGGGCAAGCTCATTGACCTCTTTTAGTACAGTCACAGTAGGGCAGTTTTTAAAAAATAAATTGTGCTCCTTAGGTGTACCCTTTAAAAATAGCTACAAGGGCTCAGCGGATTCATCATAGCTGCTTTCAGTGATCAAAAAACATACGAAAGAAGAAATGTTTATGAACTCAGAAGTGTTTCTCGGTGTGCTGTAGCGCCCACTCTATCCACCCTCGTTTTCCTCCGAATGGAGGCAGAATCCAGTCAACTCACTTTGCCGTTCTCAGGAGGGAGCCAAAGCCTCAGCCAGTATAAATTTCCATATGGCTCAGATGAAGTTATTAAAGACCTATATTTATACCTGGTGAGGATTTTCCCCCAAGGTTATTTGAAAGGCATCCCAGCTCCGGGTTGCTGAGTTGCAGAATCTGCTCCTGACAGTAATGAGCTGCACAGAGGCGGTTTATTGCCTGTATGGGAGGAAAAGAAGATCTTCCAGCTCCGAACAGTGGGAGTGCTGAAATGCAATCGTTATCTCATTTCTTCACATAGATTTTAGAAGTGAAAAATGCAGCAAAATTGAGTTGAAGGTCTTGTCTTCAGATGCTTCTCTTAGGTAGAGATGTGCTCACTCGTCTACATCTGTGTGCTAGAAGAACAGAGCTATAACAGAATTATAAGAGAGCCCTGGGGGGAATACAAGTAATATAGCAGCTTCTATAACACACTAAAACATCTATAAAACTAATTATGTGTGTTATCAAAATGATTCATGCTAGCCATTGTAAATCCCATTCATTACAAATGAGAGCTTAAATTACAGTTTGCTGTCTCTTGAGAGTTGCACAAACATCATGCACTGTAGCTAAGGGGCTGAAAAAGCAAACTGTCACCTTGTAAGTTTCTTCAGAAATTGAGATGTAACTGCATGCTGCAAGAAAGAGAGAGTGCTATTAGCATGTGTCACCTAATTCCGCTATGACAAAAAAAGTCTCCTGTGTT